AGGAGTAAGTGTAGGCCAGCATCTGAAATACCTACTCTCTTCACTGGTGGCAGGTGCGCTGTCCCCATGCCGGGAGGCCACACCACCATAATTTTCTTTATTTTTAAAGACAGTACTCCACATAAATTATGACTCTAGTTAAACACCCACGAACTTAGTGAATCAGGCCAGTTAAAGTAGCAATTCTTGATTTGGGCATTATTTTCTAGGCTTTTGTAGCAGTGATGTTCTTAATACCATCTTTTGTGTGTGTGCATTTTTCTCATTTTATTCCTTGTTGCTCGCTAGATTTGGAGCTTGGTGTCACCAGTGCTGTTGCCCAGCGTGGTTTATTCCGTTTTACACCTGGAACTCCAGTTGTGATGAGTCATATGCGACTCATTAACCTCACATAAATGCTTAGCTAAAAACAAAGATGCTGTCGTCTTAAATCGTGGGTTGAACCTGGAAGTCTGTAAATTAATGTTGCGTGTCGCTTCAGATGTTACTTTGGACGAAAGTAAGACATCTGCATGTGTTGAAAGGGGAGTGGAGCTACTGAGAAGTGAGCAGTCAGCTGGGGTTTGCTAAACAGACAAATCACACGTGGGCTGTGGAATCTCTGCAGCTAAAAGAATACTTCAAGGCCAAAGAGCTTTACAGGAGGGGTATTCTGTGTGTTTGTGCTGTTTTTATTGTTACCTCACGTCAATGCTGGTGGGCTACATGGATGTTTTTATTTACGTAATTCAGTCTCTTTAAAGAAAGGAATTGTAGTTATCATCAATTTACCTGATACATTGTGGAGAATAGTCCTGTGAGTGTACACTTCCAGGACATGGTGAGGAGAATCTCCGTGGGGTTTTTACACAGAGACATGAAAACGTGTGAAATGGAGTTTCATACCTTCAGCTCTTCCTCTTCTCCTTACCTCTGATAAGTGTCTGTGTCGATGTGCCCAGAAGTGTGTGCTACCACTGGTCATAAGCATGAAGTTCCATATACACCTTCTGGTATTTATAAAAAAACCCAGTATTAGAGCAAACTATAATTTTTTTGTTTAGTTGTAAACAATAATTGGTTTCTTTATTTTAGCGCTTCCTTCAGTAAAGTAGTTTATCTTAGGATGTATGCATTTTGTCAGATATGCATCCAATGTTTTAATAGGGTGAAGAAATGAAATACATTGTATGTCAGGTCAGTTCATCACTGTGTGTTTGTTTTTTTTATAGATTGTTGGCGTGTTGGGGAGAAATGCCTTGCCCCTTATCTTGAAAATGGAAAACTTCAGGAAGGAGTAATAACTTCACTTGAAAAGGACAAGAATGGAAAATCATTTGCTATTGTATTATTCTTGGAGTCTGAAGAAAGGAAAATATTAGTAACTAAACTTTGCAGAGTCAAAGACAGTAGAGGACCCTGGAAGAGCTTAATATTTGATGATGGTGATCTGGAAAAGCCATACTTTCCTGACCAAAATCTTCCATCTCCTGCAGTTCCTTTTAAATTGTCGGACAGTGGCGATTTTATCCCATACACGATTAACAGATACCTGCGTGATTATCAGAGGGAAGGAGCCCAGTTTCTGTACAGACACTATGCTGATAAAAGGGGGTGTATTCTTGGAGATGACATGGGCCTCGGAAAAACAATACAGGTATTCTTTTTGATTGTTACAGCTGGAGAATAGCATGTTTTCTGGTGCTGTAAGTGTATTTATAAAACCTAACCTCCCCTTGCTGTTGTGGAGTTGGATGAGCCAGGACATGACCATCCAGGCCAGCACTCAGAGCCAGGAGCCACTGCTGATTTAGGATTCACTCCTGACAACCAATAAACTGGGATATGGGGCCCCTTTTGGTTTACTATGTTGAATTTACTTTGAGGATTGCTACCTGTCCATCATGACAGGCATTTGCGCTGCAGTACACTAGAAGAACCTGGGGCCTTTATCCGACTCTAGCTTTTAAAATGTCTCTTTTCTTTTTTTCCTGAAAACAAAGTTTCACAGTTGTGGGATTGGGAAGGGAGCAGGCACATTTACTCCTGTCTCTGGACCATGCTGCTTCTGTCACTCTTTTGGAAGTGCAGCTGTGTTGATGAGAGGACAAAGTGTAGCTGGATTTTTTTTGTTATGGTTTGAGTCTGTGTGGCCCAAATTATTTGTTTATTTTGCTGTAATTAGGGTGTTTGGAAATCCACTGTAATCTATCTAGTTTAAAGTTAGCAACTTGAGCCCGGTGGTATCTAGCCCTTGTCCCCCTCTCTCTTCTCTCTGCCCACATGTCTAAATGCAAGCTCATTTGGAAATTGTGTGGTTTTGCTTGCATTTGCTTTCATTTTTTGAGCAGATAGTGTGTTCCTATGTGGAATTCACATGTGATGGTTATTTCTTTTAGTCTGTGTAAAATTTGCAGAAGAAAGGTAGAGGTTTCAAAAAAATGTCTTTTGTGAAGAATAGCAAGAAGGAATTCTGTAAGTACACAGGTCAGAAATGAAAGGCCCAGGAGAGCGATCTGAGGCAGGCAGCATGGCTTTGGTAAGGGCAAACTGTGCCTGACCAGCCTGGTGGCCTTCTGTGGTGGAACTCTGGCAATGGTTGATCCAGGAAGACCGACAGATGCCATCTACCCTGGCTTCTGTAAGGCCTGTGGTGTGATCCCACATGATGTCCTTATCTCTGGAGAGACATGGATGTCGTGGGTGGGCAGTTTGATGGGTGCAGGCAGAGAGGTGTGGTCAGTGGCTCTGTGCTGAGGTGGAGGCTGGTGATGATGAAGTCCCTCAGGACTGTTCTTCAGTGTCTTCATCAGTGACATGGACAGTGAGATTAGTGAAGCCTCAGCAAGTCTGGAGGTGACACAAAGCTGAGCAGCGCAGTTGACACAGCAGAAGGATGGGATGCCATCCAAAGGGGCCTGGATAAACCAGAAAAGTGGGCCCGTAAGAACCTCATGAGGTTCTGTAAGTCCAAGTGCAAGGTGCTGCGCCTGGGTCAGGGCAATCCCAGACACGAGCACGGACTGGGAGAAGAGGTAATTGAGAGCAGTGCTGTGGAGAAGGACCTGGGGCTTCTTGTGGGTGAAGAGCTGTTGGCATGAGCCGACAGTGTGTTCTTTAGCCCTGGACTTTGTCAAAAGCAGTGGCCAGCAGGTCAAGGGAGGTGATTCTGTCCCTTTGCCCGTGTGAGACCACACCTGGAATGTCCAGCTCAGGGGTCATCAGCACCAGAAAGATGGAGGACCACAAAGGTGATCCGAGGGATGGAGCACCTGTCCTACAAAGGTTGAGGGAGTTGGGGCAGTTCAGCCTGCAGAAGAGAAGAGAAGGCTCTGGGGAACCTCCTTGCAGCCTTCCAGTACCTTTATGTTCAAGGCCAGGTTGGATGAGGGCCTGATATAGTGAATGGCACTCCTGCCAATTGCAGGGATTGGAACTAGATGATCTTGAAGGTCCCTTCCATGATCTTACGTATTTTTTATAAAACACAGTGTTTATGTTCAAGGTCATTATGGAAAAGGCAGTTCAGTGGATTTGAAGTAAAAGGAAGAATTCACTTGTTTAGGAAAGGTAGGTGCATAGCTAAAAATGAATACTAGTTAAACTTCATCGAGTAACTGATTGAGTCTTATAGAAAACTTATGCTTCTCAGTTGCCTGAACTTTATTGTTCCTGAATTATAAGATGGTTTATGAGACAAAGACTTCTCTGGAAACCTTTTGCATTTTGATGTTCTTTGTACTTCTGAACTGATTTTTGCCTTAAGTGGCTTGACTGTAGGGTTCTTTCAATTCCAGCTGAATTTGGGGTGGAGGCAAGTAGAATAATGTTATTTCTTAATGTGAATACAGTAAATTAGTTTCCTGTCAAGGCCTCTAGGTTGCTTCTTGCTTTGTCTGGAAGAGCTGAAGATTTCTCAGAATGAGTTGCCACGTTACGCCTTTCTATTGTTAGAAATTTGTGATACAAATTCTTCCCAAAATGAAGGATCTGGAAGAGACATGGAGTTTTATTGTTCAGTTGAATTTCTTATTCTCAAAAGGATTTAAAAAAATAATTAAAAGTCATTAATTAAACAGCATATGCAAACTTGCAGTTCCTCTTCACCTCAGCTTGTATGAAATACCGCATATAAAAATGTTGGGGTTACTTTTATTCAACGTACCTCTCTTCCACCCTGCGGCCACATTAATGAGGGGTGTCCTCTCTCTTCTGTCCATCTAACTTTTCTCAGGCAGGTATTTTTTCTGCACTTTTGACCTCCTGACTGGCTCTTTTCCCTCGTCATTAGAGGGAAGCAGCTCTTTTTTTTTTGGAAATCAGCAGTTGATAGCTTTACCTCTGCCCTGCTATGAGCAGCTGTGTAGCAGCTGCAGAAGGAAGCGTCTGGAGCTGGCTGCTCTGAGGAGAAGGGGCCTGTTGAGCTTTCAAAAGAAGGGCACCTCTCTGATGATGCATCTGGTCCTTGCTGCCACTTAGTCCCACAGATGCCATTTATTCCAAGTGGGTTTTACAGATTTGCATGTTCTGGCCAGGTATTCTTTGTGCCTTATTCCTGTTCTGGATTACCATGGGAGCAGTTTGGAACATATATATAATAATAATATATATAGTATGTATATATTATATATATAATAAGCACCTTCTCATAATCACCTTGACCCCTCTGAGGCAGATGGGAGAATGTGGCACAGCTCAAAGAAGTAGTTTTGATGTTAACAACAGGAATTTGAAGGAATGGAACATCATACAGAAGAAGACATATTAGTAAAAAACAAACCTCTAGGTTAAGCATCTTCTTCCTATTTCAAAAACAGGGTTGAGAGTTGTCAAGTATATGTTCTTTCTGATCACCTTCTGAACTCTCCTCTGAGAGTCGAGTGCCCTTAAAAGGAGGAGAGTTGCAAGGCATGCTTCATCTCTGCTTTATCCTGGCTTATTCCTACTCTGTATCTTCTGTATTTTTGGGGCTTTTCCACTTAGAAAATGAAAAAGTGAGATAGAGCACTTAATTATTGTTATCATGAATTCAGGGAATTCATGGGAGTCCAAGGGAAGGGGGTCCCATTTTAAAAAGTGAGACTGTTTTTTTTTTGTTTGGGGCTTTTGTTTGTTGGTTTTGAATCAGTCTCCCCTCTCCCTGAAACCATCCTAATAAGTCGCATCCAGGATTTTGTCCTAAATGTTTGTTTTCAGTGGAACTCATTCAATTTCTTATCATACATAATCACTGAGAATTGTTTTCTTTCTCAAGGTCATCTCGTTTTTGGCTGCGGTGTTGCACAAAAAGGGAACGCGTGAGGATATTGAAAATAATATGCCAGAATTTTTACTGAGGACAATGAAAAAGGGCTCTAATTGTAATCCCAAGAAGGTACAACTTTTAGTGATATAATCTTATGGATTTTGGTAAAATGCAATACTTGGGTTTTGTTTGTTTGTTTGTTTGCTGTAGGAGTTCATGTATATTTTTTAAAATTCAGGTGCTGTCGTAGATTAGTGGTTCATGCCTTTCCTGGTAGGGTTAGGGAAGCCTGCAGTTTTCCAGGCTATCTAGCTGTTATTGTCTAATCTGTTACTACTGTTGATCTGCACTAAAACAGAACGTTTTGAGATATCTGGATTAGACTTATGGCTAGAGTACTTTGAAAAGACTGTGTTAGTGGGTAGAAAATCAGTGTTGTGTGATTGTATTTTTTAAGTTAAAAAAAACACATGTATATCCATAATAACAGGGTATTTAGCTAAGACAAATGCATATAGTTGGAGTATCTATGGCTAATAGACTTTGTGACCTCCCATGTTTTCCTGATGGGCTGTCATAATGTCAGAAGTAAGTCTTACTGGTAATCTGAGTAATCCAAAACAGCATCAGCAAATGAAAGAAACCTGAATAAGAAAATCTGAAGATCATTCTTATTTTACCCATCATGGGAACCGTGTGATTTCTTTTTCTTGTTGTTATTTTATTGGAATAATTAGAGAATTTGAGTGGCATGTGACTAAGCTCTGAATAATGGATACATGTTCCTCAGGAAACACAGGCAGAGAGGAAGAGGTAAAGGGATAGCACTTCACATGCACAGAAACAGGAATGCTTCTGTCTGGGAGTAAGAGAAGAACATCACTTCGAGAACATTTAATGTTAAAACAGGTCACAGGATGGACCCCACCCAGCCTTGTGGGGTTCTGAAGACCTGACTTGGGAAAGCCCTGGTTTGAATTCAGTGTTGCCCCTGCTTTGACTGTAAAGGACTAGAAACTTTACTTCCTACCTCACTGATGTTACTATTCTGTGATTTTAAGTGAATTTGTATGAGCTGCCTTAAGTTTTTAAACCCTTTTCAGGTCTTTTTGTTTTGAGGTCGTATGATGACTAGACTTTTGGATTGGAGGAAGCTGCCTTCCCTCTTCATCCTTTTCTTTTCTCATCTCTAAACCAGTTTATGGTATACAGATGGTATAACAAAGCAAAGTGATAGTGTTTCATGTCTTATTGCAGTTGTTAGAGTATAATTTGAGTGAGTAGCGCTGTTTGGTATTTAACTTTAGTATTACAGTATTTTCTTCTGTACTATTTATTTACTCAGAGTAAACTGATTACTTTTAAATTTGTATTAACTGTTGAAATATTTTCCACGCTATGCTTTGAAGTGACAGAATTAAACAGTTGAAACTGTTCAAAGCAGTAAAATAAATCTTGAGATTTTGACTTTCCTTGTTGAGAAAGCGCTTATGTTGTGGTTTGCGCAGTAATACTGTAATTCATACTTGTTTTCAGACTTTCCTCATAGTGGCCCCTCTTTCAGTACTGTACAACTGGAAGGATGAGTTAGACACATGGGGATACTTTAAGGTCTCTGTCTTACATGGCAGTAAAAAAGATGATGACATGAGTCGCATCAAGCAAGGGAAATACGAAGTTGCTCTTACAACATATGAGATACTTCGCCTGTATTTGGATGAATTTAACAGGTAATAGTTTTAATGTGTTTTTTGTCTACACACAGAATTTTAACTAATTGTGCGTTGTTCTTTTGCAAGTACTTTTTCTGTGTAATGTATTTACATTGCAGTGTTAAATTACTGCAGCACAGTAACCCACTGTGCTGAAGAGAAGAATCTCGTTTAGCTGTGTTTGGTGACTTTAGCCTGTACTATCTTTGTGGTGGGATATTTGGTAGCAGCAAGCATTTGAATAGTTTCCATGAAGCTAGTCTTTGCTTTTACCACGCTTATGGCATGTTCTTCAAAAGATCCAAGAATTGCCTGCCTGAAAACTGGTGACAACTAAAAGATACATAGAAAATATTTCTATCTTTCAGTACAGAGTAAGGAGACCAAAAAACCTGGAATTTTTAGCAAATGTTCAAAAAGGTATTTTCCTTGTTATTCGCACTTTTCACCAGCTTGATGAAATTCTCAAGTCCTAAAAGCTTTGAGATTTAAAACTACTCATTCCTTATCTGATCCTCGGGGTTCTTTTCCCTTATTTTGTCCTGGAAGTAGAGTACAAGTTGTGCCAATAGTTACAGTAGCAGCCTGCTCTCAGCAGCTGAGGTTGTGATCTGGAGATCTTGTTTCAGGTGTTGGGGAAGGTTCAGGCTCCAGAGAGTGCCGTGGTTCTCTGGGCAGCCATCACCAAAACAATCAGATCTTCCTCTCTGCGCTCAGGTCTGAGAAGTGCAGAGAGAAGAGTAAATTAGTTTTGTCAGTAGTGCCCTAAATCTTTGTGTTGTCTTTGAGGGACCCTTCAGGCTTGATCAGGAAACGGGTGCATGTGCAGAGCAGACCTGATGTGTGACTGCCTGCACAGGCTTTGCTCAGCATGCCCATTTACCAAACTGTTTCTAGACTATGAAGCTGTCTCTTGCTTAGCTACAGTGATGAGTTGGCCTCAAAAACTGCTCTTCAATAATTAGCTATTACTGATAAGAATACATATGCTCAGTTATGCCTGTAAATCAGCATAATGAGAGATTAAGTGGAAGGAGCTAGCAGGTGGATATCTGTTAGGCTCCTTTCAGAGCCTCCAATTTTTAGCATATGTTAGGAATGTAAGGAACTCTGATATGTATGAGTGTATTTAGTGGGTATCAAAAATATTGCAAGAGCCTTGAGATTAGTGAACTAAATTCAGCCTGCTCAGGATAGAGGCTTTCTACTACACATGTCTGTTTCAGCTTTTTATAGCCTGAAGGACCATCAAACTGGATATTGTGTTCTGAAATAACTCATTCATACATGTACAGTGAACTCATAATAAATCCCTTCATAGGGACCTGGTGGCTTAAATTAGTATCATTGTGTATGGGTCATTCTACCCTTAAGTTTTGTGCTTGAACTGGCTGCAAAATATCTGTTGGTTACTGCCTCTAGATACGTTCCCTCTAGTCACTATCACAAAATACAGAAATTCCTCTGCCATCTTGGTGTAGTATAGATGTTCTTGAGTGGGTTGCTTTCTTGTAAAAAAAACATGCAAATCGAAATGTTTTCAGCCAGCTGCTAGTTACACTGGATAGTTTTTTTCTGGGAAGATGAAGCATACCTATGTTGAGCATGTTTCAGTAGTTTGTGTTCAGAGACTTGCTTATTTTTTGTACATCATAATGGTGAGCGGAGCTCATGTTGATGAGATGTGCTGGTTTCATTGCTCCACAGGTTGGAAGCCGCTTTCTTCACAGAAAGCATTTGATACAGTTGGCAGTAGTTCATTTATTTGGCTGTGTAGTTCACCTGTTAAATTCTGCCACATTCAACTACGGCAATCAGTTTTACTGAGCAAACAGGATACGAAGAAACTGAGTAATATGGCACAATGTGAAACAGGGAAATCAAAAAGTAATACTGTATTATAATGATCGCAGCCACTTGTGTGTCTGACTTCAGTTTGGTTATGTATGTGAGATGATGGGATAAGAAATGTCAGTTAATGAAATGTTTTTGTGATCTGCAGTGTAGAATGGTCTGCTGTGATAGTGGATGAAGCACACAGAATCAAGAATCCAAAGGCTCAAATAACTCAAACCATGAAGTCATTAAAATGCAGTGTTCGCATAGGTCTTACTGGAACCATTCTGCAAAACAATATGAAGGAACTTTGGTGTGTCATGGACTGGTAAATAATTTATTTTTTAATGGTTATACACCTCTGTATGCTAACTGTGCAGTGGGACTGGGGTAGAACTGGATGATACAGGCCCGTCTGTGTCATAAAAACAAACCACAGCCCCTGCCTCAAACTCCCTGATGTTTTGTGGGAATGTAACTGTGTTTTCTTTAATGCAGCTGTGAAGGTGAGCCCCCGGTATGAATTTTGCAGTTTTTTAATACATTTGGAGCTCCTCACAACTGGCTTCTCTGGGAAATGTCGGAAGCAAGTTGAAAAGATTCTTCCCCCACCCACTCTATTTACCTTTTTCTTTTTTTTTCCCTTAAGGATGCTTTTTATGTCTTCTGTCCTTTGCCAAGTAGAGAGGAAATCATTGCAGAACCTTGACCAGCATTGTGCCTTTGCTCTGTCCAATGTGTGCAGGTCATTCTGACCTGCTTGGAGGATGAAAACAAAACTATTTTGCTGTTTTTCAAAGTGCACAAGTGCACTTATTTGCAAAGCAACGGTCTTGTCCAGAAAAACTTTTAATGGAGAAGTGCAACTAACTGTAAATAAAAATCTAAACAAAGAAGACCTACTGGCAGCACTTTATAGAGGAGGAACAAAGCAATCATAGGATATACAGAGCAGAAATAGCAGGAAAAATACTTTGAGCTCAAGTGTTGCATCTGGTCCACTGAAGCTATGCTTGTGTTGTTAATAGATTGTTCCAATATGTAATGCTGCAAGGATTATGAAATTCTTTTTTCTGTTGGGTTTCTCAGGATTTTATTTAGTAAATTGCAATATCTGCATCATCTGATTTAATAAGAACAGTGAAATTTGAAAACATGACTGTTTACGTTCCAATTTAGGCTCCTGATGGTAGCAGCCTTGTAGTTTAGAGGTTCTATGTATTTGTGTCTTCTGTTGGTCTGCTAAGGTTTTGTTTTTCTGGAAATTGCAAACCTTTTCCTAAGGGATATTCTCAGCATTTGGGAGTCACAGAAAGCAAATGAGGAGCGGCATGTCTGAAAGTAGGATGTGTTTCTATTTGTACATACAATTTTTAGTATTTTCTCTAGTGATTGTTAATTTAAGGTCTCTTGCTGTTAGCCAGAGTGAAAAATTATGGTATGCTTTAAATCAGCAGATCAACCCCTACCCCCTTTTATTTTTTTAATAGGGCTGTACCAGGACTTTTAGGTAGCAGAGCAGATTTCAAGAAGAAATTCTCTGATCCAGTGGAGCACGGCCAGAGGCACACTGCAACTAAAAGGGAGCTAGCAACAGGCCGTAAAGCCATGGTGAGGCTAGCAAGAAAAATGTCTGGCTGGTTCCTGAGGCGCACCAAAGCCCTCATCAGCGACCAGCTGCCCAAAAAGGAAGACAGGGTAAGAGTGCCTTCACACCTCAAATGCAATGCTAATGTGTGTATCTCTTCTTTTTTTGTCTTCCTGTTGTGTTTTCTCTCTTTCGTCATGTCTGTAGTAGTTTATGGTTTCCTTTCATCTTGAGAACTTTAATCCATAGCTTTGGAAAAGATGCACTTTCGATAGTGTGCTTTGTTCACATCATTATGTGATTGCATATTGAAAAGGAGTCAGTTAAGCCTGAAAATGCTCGGCTAGTCTTCTGACTAGTGATTTATACATGTGCTCTAAGTGTGTTTGTGTACTTATCTGTGCAAACCCAAAGCAATGTATGTAAATCTCCTGAAATTCTGCGTAGAACTTCTGAATCTGCAGCTTGACACTTTGTGTATGGAGGGGTGAGCTTTTAGCTCCCTCATTTTCAATCCCTAAATAAAAGAAAAACCTCAGACACAAAGCTGATTCTATGATAAATAAGTATTCCTGTTCATCTGGTGCAATTGTAAATATTATAAGGAGTGATAATACTTTATTAGTATAGCCAAGAGTTCTGATAAATCTTTCCTTCTAAGTGGACAAATATATAAATTTGCAGCTGGTTTTGTTTTCAAAATTTGGTGTTTTTTCTTCATCCATAGTTTATAATAATGTCATCTAAGCTGTCTTCTGAAGGAAAGATTAACACAAACATCAGTCAGTCGCTTTTCTGAATCTAGCAGGTTTTATTCTTTTCATTATCTTGTTAATGTGAGTATATGTTCAAGTTACTGCTGCATTATTGCGGCTCAGCATGGTGCTGCTGCTGTGTGGGTAGCATAGGTTAAGGAATGATCTTGGGATTTCTGTCTCCTGCTGCTTAAGACTAAAGACGTCATGGAGATGCCGCCCGTGGTCTCTCAGAAGAGGGATCAGAGTTTTGGCCACAGCACTGTGTAGGTCCTTGCCTTGTCGTTGCTTACTCCGTTTGTCCTGCTCGTGGTGGTGCCCTATAATAGCCGGTGCCTAAAAAAGGGAAAGAAAGGGCAAACTGTGCACCTTGCAAAGCAGAGGGGAATCTGTAATTAAAGTTATTCATGTATTTATCTCACTTTTCCTTCCTTTTCCTCCGCAAAAGCCATACTGAAAGGTTTCGAGAAAATTAACAGCCGGTTCTCGTAGCTTGACATTGATGCTCTTTGTAGAATTTTGGGATGGAATGAAATAAGCATGCATACATTTTGGCTACAATTTCGTGCTCTTTTGGTGTCGAGGTCCACATTTTTTTCATTTGGTGATAGGATAATTTCCTGTTACTAGTTGAGCAAGCATAGTATTTATTTCTAATTTCAGTGATCTGTGATTTCTGTTCTTTGATGCAGTGCTTCTTTTGCTTTTCATTGTATGTTGCACATAATAGCGTTTCTTGGGTTTTCTCTTTGGCAGATGGTGTATTGTTCTCTGACTGAATTCCAGAAAGCCGTGTACCAGGCTGTGCTGGAGACAGATGATGTAACCTTGGTGCTACGAGCAGGGGAGCCCTGTAGCTGCAACAGTGGCCGCAAAAGGAAGAACTGTTGTTACAAAGTAAGAATTTGCACTGTTTGGAATTTAGAGCAGAGTCTTCTGGAATTCTTGAGAGACTCTGCTGATCAAGAGCTGATTGAAATGTTTGCCTAGTTGCAGGCCATCTATTTGGGAAATCCCAGCTGGGAAAAACATGGGTGGCATCACAAACATGGGGCACTTAGGCACTTTGGGATACTGCAGAGCTTCTTTGCATGCCTCAGGCGGTCTGTGCAGAAGCTGAACCCAGCAGGCTGTCTGGGCTTTGCTTGTGTTCTGACTGCAGTTGGGTGGTGTCTTTCTGTGCCGTTCAACATGCACTTTGTTTTGCTTCGTTGAGGGGAGAACTGTAACAGCAGCCAGAGAGAACAAGCTGAACCTTGTCCAGTAGTAACAGCTTTGCAGGTTTCTTCAGTCTTCTCTGAACTTCTTCAGTGCTCAGTTAGTCTAGCTGTGTGTTTGGTTTGCCCACATCACTCAGTAGGCTCAGATTAAGCACCTCTTTTAAACATTTAGAAGCCTATGTCTCATACTTGCTTCTCCCTGTTTTCTTCCTGGCATGTTTTGATTCTCATGTAGTGTTTCGGGTTTTTTTCCAAAGGATGTTATTCACTCTTCCGCATCTTTCTTTGTGAAGAATCCCCCTGTCAGTCTGGTTAATATTCCATGGGTACTAGGCTACTTTGCAGGCTTTTGTTTCTTGTATGTTTTGTAAAAAGACCGAAATGCTGTGGAACTTGATTCACAAGGGGCAGTAGGCAGGCCTGCAGATGGTTAAGTGATCTTATGGACTGTCTTATTCCAAAGTTAACCGTGAAAGTTAGAAACTTGAGAAGGGAAAGGAGAAAAAATATATGATCAAAATCAACCAATTGTAGCCACAAAAATAGCCAATGCAGTAGCTGCTGCTGTGTTGTAAATGGATGTTTGAAGCTTGAATTATGTTCAAAAACTTACATTTTTGCTGTAGGGAAAAGCGAAGGTAGGAGGTGCAGGGTAAGAGTCATTCAAACAGCGCTGGTTTGATTTACATTTAAGTCTGTTTTAAAGTTACTCTTTTTTTGCTTGCTGAGCAGTTCTTGGTTATCTTACTGTGACATCGACAGAAATTACTGTCTGAAATGTTTAGCAAACTCTGAACATAGCTGTAGAAGATGTTCCTATTAATAGGATCACAAAGCTGAGGGGAAAAACACCCCTAAATTGCTTCTTTTTTATCAGAAATATAGTACACATCCTTTGGGGTCAGTTATAGTTCTACTTAGAACTGTAAATGCATTACACCTGGTAAAAATTGCGTTTATTTTAGATTATTACTTTTTTTCAGGAATATTTGTTTGCATAAACTTTTTTTTTTTTTGTAGGTAAATGCACACGGTGAAACAATAAAGTCTCTGCGCTTCAGTTACCTAACGATCCTGCAGAAGGTTGCCAATCACGCTGCTCTGCTGCAGACAGACAACACGAGCAAGCAACAGGTTAGTTTCAGAAGTACCTTGTGGAAAATGGAATGAAAACTCTTGAATGAAAATTGCTACTGACTTTCTGAAGTCTTAACTAGCTGCAGTTAAGATATTTTGCAAAATTCCTTTTCCATTCAGTAGTTCAGAATGCAGACCTCATGAAAACGTAATACAAAACAGTCTGTTCGTTTAGTTGATGTATATCTGAAAATAAGGGCTGTAGAAACATCAGAGAGATTAGGATGGAGAGTAAGTTTTAGTGATTTCTAATAGTGCCTTTTCTGTTACATTTATGATGAGTGCTGATGACAGGAATGACTTCGTGCAAATAAATAAATAATAGGCAATTAGGGAGCGCTTTTTTTTTCTCTAGAGCTGATTTTGTTTAAATAGTGAGAAACATTCTTCAGAAGAAAATGCTTAATGAGAGATCACTATCAGTTTACCTTCTTACTGTGGCATGTCACCTACAAGACCCACAAACACCAGAGGTTTTAGAAATGCTTGGGTGTGATCCGTAAGATCCAGGAATGAGCAATGGGATTTAGGAATGTTACCACTTCCTCTTGCTTTATAGGAAATGTTACTCTTACTGTTCAGGGCCTTATGTACAGCATATACCCAAGTGCTTTCAGCGGCCTTCATTTCTATATTCCATGTGTAGTCTTTTTATTGTTTAAATAATCTCTGAAATAACACAGTATGAATATTTTTGACTTAGTCTTTTGCCCGTACATAACTATTAACTGCCAAAATCCATTGAAGAAACTGAACTACTTTGTAGCATTTCTTACTTCCAATATTAAAGTCCATTTCATGTTTTAGGTGAGATATGGGGTGTTTTCTTTCTCTCTGGAAAAGTGGACTTACAGTGTGAGGTCATGTCCAAGTTCAGACCTAAATTCTAGCAGTGGAGCTTCATGTGGCTCTCGAAGAGTTTAATTGCTCTTCCCATGCAGTTTGTTGTTGTATCAGTGGAATAATATGTAATTCCCATATTGGCTTGCTGTGCCAGTGGGTCAAGAGGAACGCTGGTACAGAACTGTTGGGTAATGCAAACCTGAAGGCAACAAAAGTTTTTGAGACTTACAGTTCTGGCCAGTCCTTTTGCATTTTTTGCCAGGAGAAGGAACTTTGAGCACCTTTTACTCTAGTAGCTACAATCCATGGTTTCAGATTAACAATCTCTTTTGTTTTTAGATGAAGCAGAGCAAAGCCCACAGGGGTTGTTTTATCCAGGAGTTTTGTAGTGAACAGATTAAAAACACACAGAACTCTGCTTGAGATACTGTGGAGATCACATTTCAACCTGTTTAACTTCTTGTATGGCTTACTGGTATCCCAATAAAACTCTAATTTTTAACATCTATTCAATCTTTGTGCTTTTCTTCCAGGAAGCACATATCAAGCGGGTTTGCAGCCAGGTATTTTCCAGTTTTCCAGATTTTGTGCAGTTAAGCAAAGATGCAGCCTTTGAAACCATTTCGGATCCAAAATACAGTGGAAAAATGAAGGTAAACCCATTCCTTAGAAGAAAACTAAATATTGTTAATAATGACAGATCTGTGCTATAGTGTACGGATGTAAGGAAATGTACACCTGATAGGTGTGGGGTTTTTAATCATTGTATTTATGGTGGGTCATACCACAACAGGTATCTCCTGTCATGGTTCAGGATACATCTGGACAAAGACTGGATTAAGAGTGTTCTGTGACGCTGAGATATTTGGGGATGTTATCTTCATGTGCAGTGGTGGGCATGGAAATTACTCTTACAGTGGACAGAATTGTTGTTTCATGAAACCATGGATTCCAGTGGCAGTTGGTGAATACTCAGGAAAGAGAGGAAAACAAAATCATTATGGGCTTAGTAATTTGTGCCTACCTTCAATATTGTGTGTACTGCCAGTCCTTCCTCTCAAAAAGTGTGTGTTGGACCTTGAGAAGGTTCAGAGGAAGGTTCAGAGGAGGGCCACGAAGGAGATTAGTAACTGTGGGTCAGAAGCAGCCAAGTAGGCTGAGACTCCCCAGCCTGAAAATGATGTCTTAGGGATGAATGTGAGCGGGATCTACACAATCATAAGTAGTATGAATCTGGTGAAGATGTAGTGAGTGCTTACTGACTTTTGGAACCCTTGGACATTATGGACATTAAATGAAAATATAGAAGTCGGTGCTAAAGATGACCAAAATAAATGTGTCGAGTATGAATCTCTAAAACTCCTGACCTCGGAAACCCTCTCTCTCTGGTTTCAGAGGGGAACAAAAGATGCTTAGTGGTGTCTAAAGCAGCTGAAAAAGAAGTCTGAGGTACCTAACTAAAAAGAAAATCATAATAATTTTAGGAGTGTTCCTGTGCTGAGAGTAACCAAGAGATTAGAAGCTGTGCAGGATTTTTGCTCTCTATAAGCCTGGTTGTTCACAGGTTCTGTTTGGGACTGGTGGCAGTGAGACCACACTGTTGTAACAGCAATGTTATTACCACTTCACTGATTTATTACTGTGTGAGCAACATCTTTCCTTACTATTATTACATATGTGTGAGATACCTGCATATTAACTATGTTGTATACTCTTAATTATCTCATGAAAATGAACTTAACTGTTAAATTTTTAATAATGTGAATATTTAATACATAAGCCTAAAAACAAGTCCATGATCTTCAGTAGTGCTTATGAAGCAGTTCTCTTCTGGAAAAGCTGACAGCCTATGGCTTGGACAGGCACATTCTTTGCTGGGTTAAAACCTGGCTGGAGGGCTGGCCCAGAAACTGGTGGTGAATGGAGTAACATCTTTATTCTCAGAGTGGTGACACACTGGAACAGGTTTCCCAAAGAAATTGTGGATGCCCCATTCCTGGAAGTGTGCAAGGCCAGGCTGGATGGGACCCTGAGTCTAGTAGGTGGCATCCCTGCCCATCCATGGTGGCATGGTTTGAAACTAGATGATCTTTAAGGTCCTTTCCAACCCACACCATACTAAGACTCTGTGATCTCTGTGCCTGGAAGGAGTTTTATGTAGTGGGCTATGTAGCCACACTGAAAAATCAGCTGGGTTTTAATCCATTAATGTTGACTTCGAGGTGATGATGATGCCAAAAACTAGATCATGAATGTTTGAGGTGGTGACTTGGTTTTTTTTGTTTTCTATTCCAAATTTTAAAGAGGAAGCTGTTTGTGATGATTCTGGGTTTTATGCTGTGGAAGCAAAGCCATTCAGGAAGTATTTAATTTAGAAAGTCCTCTTACCATGAGAAAGTAATCACAGGAGAGTCAATAGGCTACTAGAGCTTGAAAACTACTTTGCCAATTTTTAACATGTTTATTTGGAAATAACTGAGACAAATTATAGTAAAATGGTTTTAGTAACATTGTCACATTGTAGTATATTTTCTGTTTCATAAATAAATTCTGGAAACTACTTGAAATTCTTTTGTAACTTTAATCTGGAAGTGTGGACTGGATAGGTATTACTTAGTCTTTAAAATTAAAATTTAGTACAAACTACACAGACATTTTGGTACTGGTGATTATTCTTTTGTAAATAAGAATAGTTGCAAAGTTTTTGGCATTTCTTTTTTAAATTCATTCAGGGAAAGGTTGGGATTTTTAATGAAGTTCAATAGCTAAGCTGCTGTAACTGTTTTGCAGAGTTGGACAGGTTAATCTGTCTGCCTAAAGTGTCTGTTATTCTCTAAGCAAGCAGAGATAGAACACGTAGGAAACACAGCTTTTTCTTTTATGGACTACGAAATATTTCCACCAGTAAAACTAGAATAGCTTGTATGCAAAGGTGAGAGAGTGGCCTGTGTGTGGTGTTTGTGTCCTGCCTTGTGCTGTGGCTGCAGTCATCTCTCTCTGGTACAGTGGGAGATCAGTAAAGTGATCTGAGTGAGCTTCTGCTTTTATTTGTGAAATTAACCCCTCATTTTCAGTCATACTGCACAAGTTACAGTGTTGGGACTTTGCTTACACTTGGTATTTCAAGGTGAATTTCTTGCCTAGATGTTGAAATAGAATATATGAGAACTGAATGAAGGGAGCGTCCTGCTTTGTTTGAAAACCACCGGTTTTGTGTCACGGTGTAGGGCAGTGGGAACCTGCAGAGTGGGAGGGCAAGTGGTTCACTGCTTTGGAAACACGTTTGCAGATTGTTCACACAGAAGTGTTGGGCACTGCTTGGAGAAGAAGATGAGTGAGCATAGCTTTGCAAGCCTGCAGTATTTCTCATTACTACTTTATTATCTCTGCAGTTTTGTTACAATTCTGGTCGGAAAGACTCTGTAAGCAGTTTAAGTGTAAAGGGCTGTTAATTGTCTGGGCACTTAAAATAGCTTTTTCTGTTTTAAACTGCACGTATAATGTTTCCACACACATCATTTTAGGGGTTACGGACTACTGTTCTTAAATAATGCAAATCTCTTAGGAATAACTGCTGGGTTGATTTAATAATTTTTGCTTGGCATATTATCATTATTTCAGTAGAAAATGAAAGTCTGTTGGAGTACTTTGCAAATAATGATAATTTCCTCCGTTAAACATAATTCTCACCCAGGCAGGCATGGCTTTGAAGTCTTAAAAATACTGTAGGCTGACTTGAACATCTGTGTACAAAAAGGATACTCCTAAAAGCAAGAGGTAAAATTTCATCAGACACAGACCACTCATAGTGTGTAGCAATGGGGAGACGTTTAAGTCCATGTGAACTCTTACATGGAATTCTTACTTTTGCTTGAGTATGACCAAATATTTCTGGTTCAGACTAACACCATACAGGATAGTGCTCTGGTGCTCAAGTGTAGAATTTATTTCTCTTTGGTGCAAAAACATTCATTACTTTTCCCTGTTAAGAGTTGCTCTTTATTCAAGAATACCTGAATTCCCAAGGGGGATGAAATTGATCCATTCTGTTTAAGCAAACTATGTGGATTTGTTTTTGCGTTCCTGTATAGGAAATTCATGATTTGACCTGTACCTTAATAACAACAACAACAGAGTAGCCAATTCCTTCTCCTTTAAAAGAATGTCTTTGTTTTTGTTCTGTCTGTTTTCTTTTCTTAATGTGACTATATAAAATGCAAATTTAAGTAGTATAGCTCTTGTTAAGTTGCCCATTGTGAATTTTTTTTTCTCAAGTAAAAGAAGACTTAATTTGTGTGTTCATGTACAATGAAACCAGACCAAAAAAAAAAAAAATCTTTTTTGCCTTGTTTTCACTTGTAACATGCTGGCTGACATATACTAAGTGATGTATAATTTCTGGGTTTTGTTCTAGATATTATCCAGAATGGTAAAGTTAATATAAACATTCATCACTATTTGGTTGTCAAAGATTTGTTTGGCTTTGAGTAAAGTCAGTGTTGATTAACAGTTTATGTATTTATCAGTGAATAAATACAGTTTTCTAAATATTTATTGCCTAGTGGGAGAAAGCTACAGCCATGGTAGAGAAAATTCCTCTTTTCCCTATTGTGTACAACTCCTGCACAGTACTCTGGAGCTGCCATTGCCAGATGTGGACATGCTTCTTTTGAAAATAACAGTATCACTATTATACACAAGGCTCTGGATTTTTTTGCTTCCCCACCAGAAGAACATCGTGTGTGGGCGGATTATTGGCATTTCAAGGTCTGTGCAGAGTCTGGGAAGCCGGATCCTACTGTAAACAGAGCAACAGATGAGAGTGGGAGTGGGGAGGGGCATGCATCTCACTGATTATTTTAAGAAGACAAGTTCTAAGAAGTTCTAAACTCAGATGTAGGACAGAAAATTTAAACAGACCTTCGACTTTTCAGGGTAAACGTGTGCATTTTTTTAAATACAAAAACGCACAGTCTGAGCTGGCGTGTGACATAGCTAACTTTGTGTTGCACGGACAGATAGGTTCTGAATTTTCCTCTTAGTGATCTGATGACCTTTTCACAACAGGAAAGATCTCTGAAAATTGAAAAGATCACTGTAGATCACTGAAAGATCCAGCATTTCCATTACCTTCGGCACATTTATTATGTTAGCAATGATTTTTGTTATGCCTCCGTTTGGCTCTGCAAATAATTACAGTGTACCCTGTTTAGAGGTTGAAAACATGAGTAAGTGTTCATGATATAACTTGTAGATAAAAATCTCTTCATTTGTACGCTCTGGGTCATTCACAGGTCCTGCAGCAGCTTTTGCATCACTTCCGAAAAAATAAGGATAAAGTTCTTCTTTTCTCCTTTTCCACCAAGGTGAGCTCCATGTGCTGTGCATCAGTTAACTGCAGCAGTGAGTTCTGAAGTGTGGAGCGCTGACGTGACGCCTGCCAGCCACATTTCCTTACTGCCTGCCCTGTGGGAAGGAGTTATGGGGACAGTGTGCAGTGCTCCAGAAGTGTACTGAAACCTTACATTATATCTCATGATAAAAGTGGTGATGGCAAAGCAGATATAACACCCTTCTGTCCTCCTTAGAGCTTTGTAAGATTGTTGTGTTGCTTTGGCTGAGTTCTGGTTGTGTGTCTCGAGTCGGAGCAGTGTCACAGCGCAGTGGGACTGCAATACCATGAAACGTTTGTGTTAGCACCAAAAGTTGTTAAATTGCCCCTGCTCTGCTGATTTTTGACCATCAGCAGCAATGACACTTCAGTCCTGAGACTTGCTGTACCAGTGGGTTTGAACTTAAAACAGCGTTTAATTGGAGCAAGAGGTATATGTACGTTTCTCTTTTCAGGGACTTGCTGCTTGATTTTCTTCTTAGGGAGTAATATGTTTCCTGAAATCCTGCACTCTGTAGTATCGTTTTTTTTATTTAAATATTTGTAATGATAGCACTAAAAAGTATTTTTAAGAAATAGTACTTTGAATGATAGTTCAAAGTCTTAAATATTTAATTTTTTTGGCTGTAAGACAGAACGTGAGTTTAATGTTTAGATGCAGTAGTAAGGAACTCGTATGTGTGTTACCATGTTCACCTCCAGACTGACTTCTGGTTACTGCAGTCTCTTTCACCCCATGCCCCTGAACCCTGATTGTGTGCTCTGTGCTGGCTCCAGTGATCGTTTACTGCATTTCAAGTAATTGCAACTCGCTAAGATGGGAGGAGGCTGTTCCCTGCCTGCTTATTGGGTGAACTGACTGAGTGGCAGCAGTGAAACAGGCAGCCAGGGCTGGGGGATGGAGTGAGGAGGCTGCAGCAGACCAGTATTAATCACCTTGAGTGCTGTAGAATCATGACTAAAGAGAGTCATGGATGTTGATGCCAAAATGGTGAAGATTTAGTCTCATTTCCAGTGCTTGGTCTGTGGAAAATATATTTGATAAACATGGCCTCTGTGATCATGTTTAATTAAAAAGATAGTATTTAAGTAAATAATTTCTTTCCCCCCCTTCATTTTTCCACTCAGTTGCTAGACGTGCTGGAACAGTACTGCATGGCATCTGGGCTGGATTACCGAAGACTTGATGGAAACACGAAATCAGAAGATAGGATGAGAATTGTAAGAGAGTTCAACAGCATTCAAGAAATTAACATATGTCTTGTATCTACAATGTAAGAAAATTTAAGTTGTAGTTTGTTTTAATCTGTGTTTCTAGTGTTTAGTAAATGGGTTACTCTGCATTTTTCTTTATGACCTTGTGAGGGATTACTTTTCTGAGCAAGTGAGTTGTTCTCTTGTCTGTTAGTGAGTACAGACTTACTGCTGTGGTCTGAAGCTTCTTAAAATTTATGGAGACTTCCTCCCTCTCCTCTGCTTTATGAGGACTTCTAAGATCTGAAAGATCTGAATCCTAGTTTTAAATTTCCAGTTGTTACAGAATGGAGGAAACCATTTTAAATACTATTACTACAACATCATTATTATTATTATGATGTCACTATCCACAAAAGACTTTTCATTTTATTGTAGGCAGACTCAATTTCTTGTATTATACTGGTAGAGCTAGCAAGTGAATATGGAATGCTGCACTGAACTAAAAAATTATCTCTCACTATTACTGTAATTTATTAACTATACTAATTAGCATGTCAGTTTAAAATACTGCAGCAAATCCTTGATTGTCTTCTAAAAATGCATCTACCTGCCAAGATTTGCTTGTCAATGTACAGTGGGTGGTGAATTCTTTTGAAACAACTTAACAAACAATGACTGTTTGTTTATTTTATTCTTTTGAGTTCCACCCTTCATCTTGGGTTAAGCTTTTTGCTGGGCAAGGACAGAAAGGCAACAAAGAGAAGCTTTCATGGTCCTGCTCAGAAGTGAAAATGGAGTGAAACTTGATGAATCATTCCTGACTATACAGTCAAGTCAGTTCTTTACTGAGAGTTTGCATGTTGGGGTTGGGTTGGAGGATCCACACCACCTCAGTTAAATTAGGAGTCAGACATTAAGACTATTGCAAGTGCACGTCAGAGCAGTCTTCATATAACTGTGGTTCATCTGGATAAGGTTGTGAAGAGGTTTGTGGTGTTGGTTATGCACGCTGGTTTGTATCTCTGTCAGCCCTGGAATCTGGCCATCAGCTTCCCTAAGACCTCCATGAGCCCCGAGTCCTTGTCTCTGAAGACAGAGGGAGTTACTCCATCCATAGCATCAGGAAATACTGATTCTGGCTTCCAGCAGTCTCGCTTAGCTCTGTAATCATGGCCTTTTCAGTCCTGTTCCATGGACTTGCATGGAAGTTAAAATTAAGGCCAGTTAAACAGAAAGCAACTGTCTCCTCTCTGTTATGAGAGCTTGTGAATACAGAGACTGGTGAGCCTTCCCTGCCTGCTGATGGGGCTGGAGACGAGGGCCTTGATTCTGCTGGTTTTGATGTTACTCATCTAACAAAGCAAATGAAAGGAACAAACCTGTGATGAAATTGCAGTCAGCGTGACCTGTGTGTACTAAGCAAAACAGGAGGGGCAATTCCTTGACTAGTTTATCACAGATAACAGGAAGTGATCTTTTTGTGTGTTTGATACACAGGAATGGAAACAGCTTTACATTTGTAATCCTTTGGAAATAAGAAAGTGATTTATCCTAGTTCTGCAAGAGATTAATTTTTTTGCTTACTCAGATTTCGGTATATATACAATAATAATAATATACTGGTAAATTCCTCAGAAAGGCAAATGCTGATTGTCACTGAAAATACTCTCACAGTCTTTTGCACGTAGAAGTGCATTCTGCCGAGGATGAATTCCCTGCATAGTAGTTTTGAGTCCACCGTTATGTTCACTGGCACAATTAACATGCAACTTTTAAAACAGAAAGCACCAATCTTTTAAATCAGACTTGACCTCAAGTCTTGCAGTTAATATTGGTACCAAGCATAGGCAGATGGCTTTGCCTAATGCTTTTATTGATAGCTATGGCTAGATAGTTTCATGGATAAATATATTTTGTAGGTGTTCGGAGAAAATATAATTAATTTCTTCAGAGCTTCTAAATTCCGTCAAACCATTAGATAGAGATCATGGATTTCAGACTTGAGCACTAGGGAAAAACAGGTATACATCTGTTGGAAGTTCTAAGTCTCTTGAAGTAATATCTGTTTGTGGATACTTTGGTCCTGTGCTAGCGCTGCTGGGGAAAATGTGTGATTATTTGGAGAAGGGGATTTTTGGGCATGCTTGGAAACATTAAAATAGTTGCTGGAGTTGCTCTAACTTACGGGAGAATGTCAGAGCTTGCAACTCCAATGGTGCTGCTTAGCCTGGAGAAGGGAAACTGTGTGCGGTACCAAAGTCAACACAGTTCCGTTCCATCGTAGTGTTGTGGAAGAAATAAGAGCAGCAAGACTTTAAATCACCATTTCTGGAATTTCTGTGCCAGTATTTCTCCAGATTCCTTCAGAACAATTGTTAATGGAAGTTCATTTCTGCTTCTTAGTTATCTTTGTTATGTTAAGAGAAGTGCTTAGGGAAACTTGTAGGTAGTTTTTTCATGAAAGGTTACATATGCACTTCCCTTCTACCTGCAGGATTCTCAATTACTGTCCATTGCTGGACTCCTGATCATTACTTTTTACTTCTACAGGGCTTCATTTAACTTGAATTCTTCTCACCTATGTTGCAAATAACTTTTAATGCATGTGTGATTACAGTCAAAGAACTTTAAACCACAAGATCTCACTGAAAAAGAGAATGTAGGAACTATGAAAAACTTACCTTGGTGAACAGAATTACATCGTCAAAGCTTTCATAGAAACTTTCCTAATGCAGTATTGTTCTGTAACTTCTGACTGTTGAGGTAATAAGTTGTGCAGTTTTAAATAAGATGATCTTTTGAAAACTGTAACGAAACTCTTTATTTGAGCCATATTAAAGTTGTTTGCATGGATGAAATTGCAGTAATGGCTAACAGCTAATTAAGATTATAGTTGAAATGGAAGATATGTTTTACAGTGCACAAATTACTGCATTTATTCTGTCCAGGAAGGACATAGAAACCATTCTTTTTCTGTTTTGGAGTACCTGAGTTTTTGTGTCATACCTAAAAATATTGAAAGGTGAAATTATTATAAAGCTAAGTATCCTGTTTAGTTTTTATAGATAGTCTGTTTTACATGTTGACTTGTGTTCTAATCCAACTGCAGGGTTAGTTTGGGAAGACAAGAGGCTGAATTCTGTTTTCACTGGAAAGAAGTACATTGCATTTCCAAAATACCACAGTGTATCTGAAAAAATGCAAATATTTTTGTTCAGCATTTCAAACTTTGAGAACGTGCATCCTCCGGAAACATCTGTTAATATTGGCAGGTTCCCATATCCTCTGCCTCTCCAGATTTAGCTGGAACCCAACACCACATCACACCTGGAAGGATAAGGCCACAACTGCATTTACACTGAGATGGATTCCATGAAAACCAAAAAGTGGTGGGGCTCCCTTAGTTTTTGGTCCTGTCTCCATTCAACCTTTTACCGGAGACTTTACCTTTCCTGTCTGCTTTAAATAAGCAGAATCTAAAGTCGTCTGTTAAACCAGGTGCTTAGTGAATTAAATAGGATTGACTTCTTCAGTTTCGCAGTAGCTCTTTCAGGAACCTAACACTCTTGAAATTAGTGAATCCTTTGTTAATGTGAATGTTTGTTTTAACAGTAACTAACAATAGTATTTAGCATGTGCCTGTGTAGGAACTTGTCTCTGTTATGCGATGGTTGGTTGAGCCAGTTGAAAAGAATATTCAGTATTTGCGTGTTTTGCAGCTGGATGGGACTGGTATTCTCCTCACTTTTGTTCCTATCACATCATGCCAAACTCCAAGCAACTGAGCAGATAAGTTGGATTCAGCAATTAGCTGCCTCAGGTTCAAGTTCTTTACTGGCTTGCAGGCTTTACCTGAAAGAGCAGTCCAGCTGGTAAATGTTTTAAGATGATGTAACTGTGACTCCCAGCCCTCAGTGCAGACAGTTTTCTGACAGGGATTTTTTTTTTCCTTCTAATGACTGGTATGAATATTGCTCATATGCAGCTGTGTGGGCAACGAGTGACTTGCTGTACAAATACATTTGTGACAGCTGCTAATTCTTACAGGTGTGACTCACCGAGATTGTGACCATTTTAGTGGAAGCTGTGTGGCATTATTGTTGAAAACTCTTTGCTGGCATTAGAGCAAGTAACATTTCACCCTAAATTTTCCTGCTTCCACGAAGTTAACTGCCATAAAAGTGGTTATGAATTTCAGTAGAGTCGCTGGAGGAGTTGGCCTGTGCAGGGCTTTGTGGGAACGAAGTAGCAACCAGGGCTTTTACTGAGTGAGCTGATAGATTGGTTATGACTCAGCTATTCATACAGTTTGTAGCAATCATGACTGCATTTTATAGCAATGGCTGTTTGAGTACTTGGTGGTTGTTAATATGACAGGAACACAAAGCTGTACTGCGCAGTTTTCAGTATCTTTGTTGTGTTCTTTTATTTTACATTGAGAAGGGTATGCCAATGTGGACCTGATGTAGAACATTTTTTTTTTCAGTGTTGTTTTTATTGTCATATAGTTCTATTTTTATAATTTTTATATTTTTAGGGCTGGTGGACTGGGTCTCAATTTTGTTGGTGCCAATGTGGTTATACTGTTTGATCCTACGTGGAATCCAGCAAATGATCTTCAAGCAATTGACAGGTACACTCTCAAAATACAGAACTTGATCCATGTTGTACTCTTATTTTGCTTTCATTCCATAATCTGACAGTCCAGCTAAAATTTTCCTCAAGGAAGAAATTTTTTAATATAACTTTTTGTGATCTTCACGGAATCTGTGTATGTGTAGCTGTCATATTTTTTGTGTTTTTCACGACAGAATACATTGTGGTTACCTGAGTTAAAGTGATGTTTTGAATTCCAGAACCCCTAAAGACAACCTTTCTGCTTCACCCTTTTGGAGATTTGTGTATTTCCAGCGTTCAATTCTAGCTCTTATGTTATGCTGCTGGAGTAATTCCAGTAATACAGATATTTCTTTCAAGGCTTTTTGACTATGGGATGTTTTCCTAGGAATTCAGGACAGACTTATGGCTGGCTGAAGTAAAGAACATTGACAACTTTCAAAAATTCAGTAGATCTCTATATTTTTATGAGCAGAAATAAAGTTGCTATCTCCTGCAATTATATAATTCCATTTTAAGGGTCTTTCTGACTTCTAATACGTCTTTATGTTCACCTGTTTGAGAGAAATATGTGTGTCAGAAGCATACATTGGGGACTGTCTTTAAAGAATCTTTGTAAGATCACAATTCTATGAATTGGTTCAGCCTCCTGTGAATTTTGTGGAATATAGTTTATTAGACATCTCAGAATTTACCGTTTGGATAGAGCACTGCCAGTTTATTAGCTGTTTTTATGATGCTGTAACTTGCAAAGTGCTTTAGAAAGTTAGGAAAGAACAGACTGCTCCAAGTAATCCATGAGCTAATTCCTATTTATAATACAAATGGGAGAATACCTTGAGCGAGAGCAGGTGTAGACCGAGAGGAGAAAAGAAAAACAAAACTAACCTGAGATACACAAAGTGGAAGACGTGTTCTCAGAAGAGGTGGGAGACAGTTCTTGGGATACAAAATGAGGAGAAAGCTTTTTAAACTGGATAGGCCTGTGGAGAAGCATGGAGCACTGAGGGTAAAGGAAAAGGAAATGAATTAATGAGGAAAATGCGGAAAAGAAAAACAACCCAACCAACACATGTGTGATTTAGCAGTCCTGTTTTATTAGAATGCTTTTACTTATTTTTTTGTTCATTTACTGCCGCAAGAGCTCTCTTAAAATGTTTTCTGATGTGCCACTGTCCTTGCAGAGCTTATAGAATTGGCCAGTACAGACCTGTTAAAGTGTTTAGATTGATATCCTTGGGAACTGTGGAAGAGATGATGTATTTGCGACAAGTTTATAAACAGGTAAAGTTCACAAACTGTTTAAATTTGGAGTTCTTTTTAACTATCTTGGTGGCTGAAAGCTAATCTAGCCTATAGCAAAATTGTGGTTTACTTTGGGTTAATGACATACGCTATTGACTTTCAAGGCAAAGATCCTCATTTAGCAATGTCAGAAGAACAGAACAGAATTATATTTGCATTCAAGTTTTTCTGTAACTACCGACAGTTTAATTATGCAATATACGTTGTTATTTGAAGACCTGTAACACCATCTGTGATAGCTGTGTGGTCTGATTTGGGCTGCTTTACCTTGTGAAAGTCTGGAGAAAGTAAAGCAAGAGGCATCGTGACTCTCCTGGCTGTGAAAACTTGCATATAAAAGGAGGTGGAAACGGCTTGTAGTTGCTGCTGTTATGAAGATAAGAAGTGATATTGCGTGCCAGAACGCTTAGTCTGGATCATTTGCACTGTCCTGCATTGACAGGCTTTGCTCTGGTTCTGCCCAGAACGTGTTTTTCTCCGCAAAAGCTGCAAGTTAAGAAATAAGATGATTGAATTTAAGGTTCTCATGTTAGAGGCATGTAAACTGGGACAAAGGTAGAAAACCAGTGGGGTGAAGTTGTCCTGAAGAATACATTGCATAGGAAACATAAAGGTAGGTCACCTCAGTGGGAGAGTGATATTGCATATTGAAAAAAACTTTACTAGATTGGAGGAATTAACCTAATAGTTTGAATTTTTGGCCATAAATAATTAAAAGTTGGTAGGGAGTCCTAAGTGACATGCAGTTGTAGTTAATTATTTACAGGGAGGAAGTTGGAGGCTGAATGAGTGGGAAATGCAGTAGTAAACAGATTGTCATTTTTCTCCTTGGATTTAAGTAAATGACAAGTAAGGATAAGGTTCTAAGATCCTCTGATTTCACAGAGCAGAGAGTCAAAACCCCCACAGATCCAACCTTTAACTGCTCCCAGTAATGTAACGACTTGCTTTGAAACCCTGCTTTCAAAATGTAATGGTGCCTTTTATCTCACTTAAATTCAGTGTTTTGTAGAAGCCAACAGGCCATTAGAGTTCCCCTAATTTTGACAAAATTATGTAAATTAAAAAGATAAAACTTGTTAAGGAGAAGTCAAAAGAAATAGGTGATGGGCTGAGGTGCTAACAGGTAACTGGGCAATTTGCAGAGGTTCTGCATCAGAAGCTCAGAATTAAGAAGACACATTAGTAGTTGAAATCACATGCTTACAAAACAAGTTAAATTTAATGCATGTCAAGTCCAAAATCTGTTTTTGAGGAACAGTGGCCTAAAAATATAAAAGCTAATAATTTATGGCTTTAATGTATCAGGAGTATGAATTGTACTGCTCTGTGACTATCACTTTATCAGGGTTTGAAAGAGTGTTCACTGCAAAAAAAGACACCTTACTTATTTATTCCTCTTATCCACATTCATGGGAAAACGTGGAGAGGATCCTCTTTTCACAGTTTCTGTGTGCAAAGTACTTTTGGGGAGTCGTTTCAGCAGCCAGTACCAGTAGGAGAAGCCTCAGAAAGGTTAACAAAATGATCAGTGGCGGGTTACAGCCACCTCCGTTCGCAAAAAACCTGAAGGAGGGGAGCCTGCTTCGCAGAGGTCTTGGGAGTTGGTGATCCTGTAGGAAAAGAAGACCTGGATATTGTCTGTTTGGATTTCCAGAAACCAAGTATAAGACTTCTTGAAAGGCTCCTGTGCCTTTTTTTTTTTTTCCTTTTAAATTGACTTGTGTTTTTCAAGTTTAAAGAGAAGCAATAAACAGAGCAGTAGTAAATCTGAGATTTTTTTTTTTTTTTTGGCTACGCTTGGATTGCATTCCCTTACCAAGTAAGCATTCAGTGCAGAGGAGAGTAAAAAAATAGTAATAATTTAGTACTGAGGAAAGCTAAGCAGCCAAGATGTAGGGGAGTGCCTCTAGTGTGTTTAGTTGGTGTCTGATATTAGGCATCTATACAGCAGAAGACTTCAAATATTTAAATTTTTTAAAATTCAGTAAAACCAAGCAGGTGTATGTTATACCACAATCCATCATACCAGCATCTGCCAGGGAAATTAAAACATCCTCTCTTAGGAATTTCCCCCCGCTCCAGCTAAAGCTGTGTATATAATGTGGATGCCAGGAAATTCTGACGTGTTGTTGCAGCAAACACTTCTCAAGTCTCTTGTGTTGCTCTGTTTTAGCAACTTCAGTGTGCAGTGGTTGGAAGCGAAAACGCCAAGAGGTATTTCGAGGCAGTGCAAGGATCGAAGGAGCATCAGGGAGAGCTTTTTGGGATCCACAACCTTTTCAAACTTAGGATTCATGGGTCCTGTCTTACCAAGGAAATCCTGGAGGTGTGAAGTGCTGTCCTTTTACTTTTGGGTGTTGGTTTTGCCTTTTTGCTTTCCTCATGAGGTTTTTTTGTTTGTCATCGTTTTGAATGGAAACACTATAAAACAGAATGGTGAAACTTAAACAGTACTTGTCTATGCAGTGACTTAAATGAAATAGGCATGGTAGTTTCTCACTCTGATGTAGACCATAAAATTTTTTTGGTAAATTTTTTTGAATCAAAGAATGCAAAAAGCTTGGATTATAATTTTCGTAAATTTGCTAATATATTTCTTAATAAAAATGATTTGACTTATGTTTTGATACTTTCACATGTTGTCAGCTTTGTGCACAAATATCTTTTATTCATCAATAGCTCAGGCTGACCTTTTAAGCCGGAATTCTGAACATAAAAATAGTTTTTGTGATTATAGTAACCTTTCTGTAGTACATTTTGAGGTGTCAAAAACTGTTTAATAAAACATATTTTATAATGCTGTATTTTAGAATGTTATAGGGTGGAAGTAAGTAAATAAGTGAGGCTTCATATTTTAAAATTAATTTCTTGGTTACCCTGAAAAGCCTGTTGACCCAATTCCACAGTGTAAACTGATTGAAGTATACGCAGCATTATGCCTTTTTGTATAAGGCGTGTTTGCTCCAGCTAGCTTGCATCTTGAATTTTATTGTAGCTTCATTCTAGGTTTCTTTCCATCCTTCCCTTTATTTTGTTATTTTGCACGTGCTAGGAGTTTAGTCTGGGCTTGGCTGATTGTATTCCTGGTGCTTACACCTCCGTAGAAGGAAAGAAAAACCATTCGGGATTGTTTTTTTTTTCCTGGGCTTGCCTTCTGCGTGTAGTAAAACCTGTGTGATTTTCTGTTCACATGTTTGATTGTTTCAGAGGGAAGGGCAGGTGGAAGCAGGAGTCATGACAGCCACGACGTGGCTGAAGGAGGAGAGCGCTCCACGCAGCTCAGACAAGGTAAGATGTCTTTGTGGATTGTGGGCCAGAGCAGGACAGTCCCTCTGGGTTCTGATACTGCCCTGGGCAGTATGCTGTGAGGCTGATGATGCTTCTACCCTGTTGTTTAGAAGATTTTGCCTAGGGAGTTGTGGAAAGGAGTTTCAGTTGGTGTAGACTGTTGAAAGCTTCAGGATTTGTGGAGATCTGAAGACACAGGCTATTTAGTTGTTCTAGTCAGACAGTGAGACAGTGGTTCCCATCAAATCAGTGGGCTGTTCGATACTGTCTTTTTTTTAGTGTATTTAATTTCCTAATGGTTTTCTTTTGGAACAAGATTTTTAATCTTTTTCCTGAAAAGGTTGATTTTAGAAGGAGTACTGGATTTATAGGAATGTTTTTGACTGAACCTGTGTTCAGGTACTTAGGGTAGCAAGCAGCTAGGACTATAATATGGCCTGCAAGAGTAAGGGTAGATATTGGATTAGATCACACTGAATGGCATTAAAAATTAGCTGCTATCTCCTATGCCTGTTGGAGGTTTCTGTGAACAAATATCAGTATTAATTTAACATGTGCCCTCACATTGATTGCAACTCATACTGATAAAACATCACTGTCTGGTTGTGATCTCACATTGGACTTGGTGATAAACAGCAGCTTTTCAAGCTTATGCTGAATACTTTTTGATGAGCAGGATGATATCAGGACTGAGACATTAATTTTAAAGCATCTCTTCGTGTACCAAATGTCAGTATTTACCCTTCTGACTTTCCATTTACAGGTTGTCGTAATTCCTGTCTCAGTAGTATGGATTTTTGTAGCTGGGTTCTAGATTTTGGTATCTTCAAAATGTTTCAAAGTTGCCTGGGTATAATTTTGTTTGATTACAGTAGGCTTCAACTAATTTTGGAGTGGACTGTTGTGTACTCATGACTATTTTAATATTATTCCCCATATACAAGGTGGTTAACCACTGCACTGAGATTTATTTTTTTTAATGAATGTTATTACACAATATTAAGGTTTGAATCATGAAGTCAACTTTCAGACTACCTTTGAAAGATGAAAAGTAGCAATAAGATTAGTATAAACTTGAAAAATATACGTGTAGGTTGTGAAGACATAGGTTGTTTTACATTGTGCAGCATATATTGTCTCTAATATGTAATATTAAATAATTATCTAATATTAAATTTTTTTAACGAAAATTGGTTATTTTCATTGTTTTTCTGCTACCAATTTTCAGCTGCCAGAGACTTTAATAATTTTTCATTATGATTTGTTTTGTATTTGCTTTCTATTTGCATTTTGTAATACTACTTTGTATATTTTTTGCATGAGTTCATAGTGAAAATCCACTTTTTTTACATTGCTTTGAAATTGGGAGTGTTCCATATACTATTAATGTTAAATAGCTCTGCTGTAGGTTGGTTTTTTATTTGTTTGTTTGTTTGGTTTTTTTTTTTTTTTTTTAGTTTGAACAAGCAGACTGTAGAGAAGATGGAGATCCCCACAGCACTCAGGCACAGTTAAACAGAGAAGAAACAGATTTTTGGGATGACTTCAGTGATGATGATACTCTGGAAACTTCTGTGAAAAAATGTGACAGAAGGAAGCCTTGCAATGCAAATAATTTAATGGTAGCGAAGGGTCAGCTTTCTTTAATGCAGTGTGGATTCTCCAAGCTGCTGCAGAGAGAAATTGAAACTACCAAAGAAGGGGGTGATAATTACAAATCCCATCAATTGCCTTCTGATGATGGGACTGTAAGAAAAAGCATAAATAGCAAGCCCAGTGATCTTCAGAAATGTCCAAGCAGTGTGCCTGTTTTGGAGCATGGGAAAGCTGTTCTGTCAGCTGATGGAACTGATAAACAGGATAGGCATGGGATAGACTGGATTGACTCATCAGGCTCTGAGGAGGAAGGGGACAGAGAAAATGAGGATCAAGGCGTTCCTAAGCAACCTGATATAGTCATGGAAACTGAAAGTAGTTCTGAAGAGGGGGATGATGTCATCCTTCCTACTCAAGTTCAAGCATGCCAGCAACCAGTGCTTGCTAAAAAGGTTGAAATACACAGGTCAACGTCTGAGGATTATACAGAGTTAGCAAAAGAAAAAGATGGGTCTGTGTTTAGGGGAGACAGTAGGCAGTTTGGATTCCACAGGGTTGAGCCATCTTTTGAAGACGTCACAGATGACACAGATGACACAGATTTGAAAGGAGCAAGTGACATAAGTGACGAGTCTGATGACATTGAACTTCCCCATAATTCTAAATCAAGAAAGCTAGGATCTTCCAGCCTTCCAAAAAGCAAGGAAAGATGTGCCCTTAACAATGAACGAGGTAACGTCTCCAGATCTCTGCCACAAGCAAAGAAGCCCAGTAGAGAAGAAAAGGAAGGTGATTCACAGAATATAGATGAATTTTCATCCTCTGAAGATAACGCTCCAGCTGAGAAAACTGAAGCCCGAAAGCAGAAGTGTAAAAGACAGAGAGGCAGAGTTCAGTTTGGGTCTAAAACGCTGCGTCCTGTTCGAGATAGCTCTGTTGCACGAGGGGAGTCTGGCAGTTATGCTGTGCACAGAACTTCTGCAAGAAAAACCGAATTTGAGCACCAAGAGGAAAAAATGGAGTCAATGGACAGATATTTAGGTAACTAGTAATTTCACTTCTTTGATTTTATTTGAACTTAAGTAATAACATAGGTTTAAATTTACCACTGTCTGCAGGCTCTAGGTTTTTCTTGCTATTCATGCTGTTTGTTACAGGGTACTAGTAAATGCTCTGCTAAATTAGTTAGTAACACCTTTGTGTTTATTTCTTTTTACCTGTTAGTCTTACTTTCCTGTCCTCTGGGGTGACAGACTGCTTTGTAATACTGTGTTCAAGACTGACTGTCTCTTGAACGATGCTAAGACTGAAGATGTATTAAGAATTCACAAACTAAATATTTGAGCTGCAAAACCTTAAAAGTCTTTACAGAGCTGTTAAATAAAAACTTAACGTACATGGGGAAAAAAAAAGTGATCTAAGAGTTTGAAATACCACGTAGAAGACTTGATTCTGTAAAAGAATTTTAAACGTGATAGATGCTTTGAAACTTCCTTGTCCACCTGAAAAAAGCCCACAGGGAGGGCTTTTTAGTAGTTTTAAGGAAGTAGTTTTAAGCTGTCTAGAGAAATATCCTATTTGTGATTGTACCTTTCTCCTGATGGTGCCAGATGGTGTCCAGGAAGTGGCATATATTCATTCAAATCAGAACGTGGTTGGATCCAGCAAGGCTGAGAATCACCTGAGCCGGTGGGCAGTGCGGGACGTGTTCGAGCTGAGGCAGTTCTCCCAGCTTCCTGCTAATGTCGCTGTCTGTAGTGCCAAGGTAAAGAGAAGTGTTTGGGAACCTTGTTTTAACTCTCTTATCCTCATTTTTCATCTTAAGAAGCTCTAAAAAAACCTTGTGTTTCTGTCGATGGCCACCATGGATGATCAAAGCCATTGAGGATGGGAGGAGAAGAAGGCTCAGTTGGAAGTCTAATAAATTACTTTTGTTTTTTGGGGTGGCTTTTAAGCAGCATGGTACCCTCTGTGGGATTTTTCTGTGAGAGAAACAGTAAGATTAAAGGTTGGGTGTTTGGGATCAAATTCTGTGCCATGTTTTTCTCATTTGAGCCTTGAAAATTCTTCAGTTTGTCCTGGATGCAGTTTAAAAAAATCCAGTTGCCACAGTACATTCTGGAAAACTCTGTAGCATGGAAAGTCAAACATAAATCAGTTTGCAGACTTTTTGTGGGAGGTGAATATATGCAGTTGCTATAATGAGTCAAATTGTCTAATGTCTGAAACATACAACCAGAGTTTGCTGGGAGTGCCTGTTGGCAGCGACAGATACATTTTGTGCTTTTTGTTGGTCGTGCATCTTGTTTAATTACATTGGCAATGCACACAAATCTGGAATAAATTCAGGTGGAGCTTCCAGATTTTTGTTCTCATTAGTTAGTGGTTTTAATCTGCTCTGATTATCCGAATATTTCGTTGTTTCCCTTGTAATAAACATTTGCAGTTTCCTAGACTGATGCTTAAGATAAACCACAAGCACAGAATAAGTAATTGGTGAATGTGCAGCTTAGTCTTCACAGACATGTTAGCGATCATTATAGAAATTGTAGACATACATCTGTGTTGTTCTGGGGTGTTGAACATCCACTGTGGCTGGAAGAGTTTCTTCCAGTGTTGTTGTTGTTGTTGTTGTTGTTTCACTGTATTTAATTAAGCCGTTAGCACAGTTGCCAAAGAATTTTTATACTGGGAAGATCACACCAGGAGAACCAGCAAAAGTGGTGCCTTTTTAATTCTAACACATTTGCATTAGAATGTCCCTCATTTACAGAAAAGTTGGTCAAAAATACTCAGAAGTACTTATTAATTGGCACTGGCTGACAGCAGTATTAAACTCAAATATAAACGAAAGAAAACTTTTAGAGAGCATATTTTGTTTAAAAGGCTGTTGATCCACCTCTGTTCAAAAATTGTGTTGTTTTGTTCCTGTAACTTAGAGCCCATTTTGTGTGACTGCAAGTATTACAAATCGACTTCTCTTGATTAACTTGTCAGTTTTTGTAAGGTAGGCATTTTTTGCTCAGAAGCAACAGAACAACTTCTCTTGGAGAACTAAGTAGGAAGAAAAGTATCAAAAATTATAGAGAAGTCTGCCTCTTCCTTCACTTCCTGTTATTTCTTTTACTCTAGAGGCACCAATCCAGAAATAATCCCTAGATGATGGCCTATTCTTAGATGTGGCACTCTGAATTTTTTCTGTTCTGCTTAAAAAAAAGAGCAGCCAGAGCTTCATAGACAACTTTAAAAGATTCATCTTTGTTTTGCTTTAGAAGGCATTTTGTGAAAAACATGGCTATTGTTGTGCTTCTGGCCATCATTCTTTGCTGGTCATTTTTCACTTATTTCCCATCAGTTGAAGTTAGGACATTCACTGTCAGAGCAACTGATGCGTTATAAAAAAATGCTGCTTTTATGTACAGTTTCATAAAAAGCTTTTTTAACAGATTAAAGTAGCATCACTAAAAATACAGGTGAGTCATTTAAATTTCCATCACTGTTTTAAGTAAATAAAATTACAGTTTTGAAAGCTGGGATGTTAATTGGAAACTGATAGTTACTGAAAGGAAAGCAAAGTTTTGTCAGATGAAATTCCTGACTTATGTTGTCTTCTAGCATCATTGGTCTAATTGAGTTTCTCAGCAACTTCTGTGTAGCTGTTTGTTTGCTCTGGGTATCAATGATCATATCCTTTGGTAGAACCTTTTTTTACAGTGTATTTATATTGGAGCTTTATTTGGTAGTGTCATGAAGGCTCCTGAATAATATTTTTCCCCCTGTTAATATTTATGTCTCTTCTTAAGCACACTTAATCAAACTCCCCTATTTCTAAGTATAATTGGTCAGGAAAGGTTATTTTCCTTTCATTTCATAGATAAGTCTGCTTAGGACCAAAAAGTAAAATGTCCTTTGTGCAGTTCATTTTACCTATGCCAACTGTTATCTTCCTGCTTTGCAGTTTCACTCAGCAGGCTGTCTGTAATAATGCGTTTCTGATTTAATGTATTTTAAATACATTTTTCAAGTAATCACCGATATCTCTGTGAAAGGGGATCAGGAATTCTTAAAAACTAGAATTGTTCTATTGAAGTGGGTGAATCGCAAGTTGGGAAATACAAATTCCTCTAAATCTTGGTTGAAGACTCGAGTGAAACATTTTTGTTTCGTGTTTATGGGTGAATCTGGAATGACGGTATAATAAGCGGTTATAATAAGCAAAAACAATCAATAAAGAAAACCCCTTGTAAGAACATTGACAGGTTGATTTCTTGCTGTTGGCTACTTATCTAATCACATTTTTGCTTGACTAAATTTACATAAACTTTTATATCCTATATTAAGTTCTTCAGTTTCAGTGGCTAATTTATGGAAACTAGGTGAGTAAAGAAAAAACAAGTTGCTGCAAAGCAGTAGAGAGCAATGTATTCTTCCTGGTTTTCTACCTGTATAACTAAAAGGAGTATATATTAGGTTTATTAGTGCTTTCCTTATTGCTGAAGCACGGAGACTAATGTAGTTGCTTGAGCTGTAGAAACTGCTTAAAGCTGGACCAGACTGCAAAACCTTTGAGGACTCTTCTTTGAAAGTGAGAGAGGTTGCATGGGAAGAAGATCCTTGAGAGCGAAGGTAGAAGGGGTGGTGGGGCAGCAAATCTTACTCTTCAGGAGAGAAATTTGAAGGTATGTAGAACACCTTTTTTAAGGACATGAGTAACTAATGAACTTGGATTTAAATTAGTTGTACAAAAATGTAAGACTTGAATGCTTTTTCTTACCCCAGAGTTCGTCTTGGGGATAGTTACTCCCCTTAATTAGAGTTTAGAAGGTCTGTGTTAGATCTACACAGTTGCACTAGTGTAATTCACAGTCAAATAAATATCTCTTAACCTTTTGAGCTGTAGACTTCAATCAAGTTCATTTTTTTTATTCAGTAATAAGTAGCCAGTCTGTCCTTAGTTTTACCTGTGCCTATTCCTATACCCCAACTACCTTTTCTCTGAACAAATAGAACATGTTATTTTAACCTGCTATTATTTTGTACCTTTAAAGGCTTAAGGGAGGAAAATCTTGGTTCTTTTTATAAGAAATAGATCTTGCTATGTTTCTTCTTTCTGGCTTGCTTTGTTCTCCAGGTTCCATAAGAGTCCTGGATTCAAGACTGCAGAGCCTTTGACTCTTCTTTCCCCAGAGGTGACAGGGAGTGCAGTCATACTGTTTGTTCATGTCAATTTTTAAAGGAATTGTGCCAACTGACAAATTTAGCTGAACCGCTCACATTTATGGTTCTGAGTGCTTGTTTGGTGTGTGTTTCTGTAAGTATTGTATGGCTATGGAAAATAAAGTTTGGTAACAGCAACCAGAATATAAAGTGCGCCATCAAGAAGCAAGAATAGGACATCGTGAGAGTCCTCTCACAACTTAGCAGCTGTGAAAGTTGAGATAAAATCCAAAAGTAGTAAATGTAGCAATATAAAACAAGCAAGCAAGAGAATAAACCCTATTCTGGTTGAATATCATTAGTCAAAATAAATCCTTTCCAGCATCTGAGTTAAAGAAAGATAGCTGTTTGAAGATAGTTTGTATGTGACAATAGTAGAAGCAAACAAATGTGAAAAGGTTTTTGTACCACATGATACTGAAAAAAGGAAAATAAATTGTGGGATATATTCCTTTTATCACATGGGATGGCATAAAAGTGTAAGATGATGCTCTAGCTATAGGTGAGTTGGAGCAGCATTCTCAATGAAGCAACACATTGTTATCTTGTTAAAGAACAAGCTTTCATAGTCATCTACAGCAGCAGAGATTTGCTTATAGTTTATTTTGCAAGTGTAATCAGGGAGGTACTTAAAAGACTAAGATTAACTGGGTTCTTTTGACTGACATGGCATAATATCACTTAAATGTAGAATGCTTGCAATTATAGTACAAATATTTTAATGCCAACAGTTTCTGAACTGTACACGTTATCCTTTCTCTGAAGATGGTTTGTGTTCTGACCATTGCCCACAGGGTTGGATTGCTGTAGATTGTAGATGCCCAGAATAGTATGATAATCTTTCCACAAAGAGTTGATGTTTCTGATAGTTCTGCTTATGTGGAAGGCACTGATGTGTCAGTAATGAGAGGTGTTTAGAGCCTCAGAAATCAAATCAAAGCCAGGGATTTTGGTTCCATGCAGAAGGGTGGCAGTTTCTGAAGAAATTTCAGAGATACAGGTGTAATAAGTTAATCATGATTTGCACTGCTAACTCTGTATTATTACATATAGAAGTATAACTTCCTGTATATTTCTAAAAATTTATTGCACCTCCCAGAACCTGAGTGTCTCAGGAAGCAGACTGGTGTATCTCTGTGCAATCCAGGATCTCATGCTACTTGTAATCTTTCATAACACATCTTAAGTGTGAAAGCATGAGTTATGGTTAGAATTGCAATGCCATGATGCAGGGAGAAGAACACACCAGGCTTCAGTCTTGTAAACCCCTTGAGGGTAAAAAATGCACATCGTTTAGTGTGGCATGTGGCCACTCCAGTAAAAACTGAGAGCTGTTCTTCATTGATTCCTTATGCATATGACAACAAAATGCACTTGATGTGCTGTTTCTCAGAAGATCCTTCATAAGAAAGGTCTGTTTTCTGGTCTGTTATGGAGAAGTGTGAAGGAAGAAGGTATATGGGAATTAATCTCTTGGAATAAATAGCTTGGTTTTTTCCCTGCATTATTTTGCTGGGTTTAGCCTGACTTGATGATGTGGAGAAATCT